TAGGCTAACTGTTGGTCGCTGTTTGATATCTGCGTCCCAATGGTTGGTCTGTGAAAATCCAACCTCGCTGGTTGGTCAGGGAAAATCTACAGGAAACCATGGCTTTGTCTGAAAATATGATGGTACCCCTAAATCCATTGGCAGTTGGGTTCTCATCATTCTTCCTATTCACATCAATTAGCTAAGAATTTTTAAGATATAACATGATATACCCCATTTCCAGACACAGCCCCATGGTTTTCCCCATCAAAGATAGGATAGATAGGGCCTTTCCTGAAGATTTTCCCTGCAATCGATCCAAAAGGAAGATCCTGAACGTCCCCGCGACCCTGCCATTGTACTTCACCGCAACGGCTTTGGCCAAGTTGGCCCACCAGGCAGCTTCGATGGGTTTCGATGGCTTTTTTGGGGTTTCAAAGGTGTGTGTTTTTTTCCAATGGAGTGTGGCACACTGATGGCGTTTACCCAGGAAAACCCATCGAAATCTCGATCGGAATCGTTGATCTCAGCGAAAAACCTGGCCATGACAAGGGATACAGCATGATTCAGCGCTTCGTAAGTAGGTTATAACCCCACTTATGACTTGACTAACCCTCGTTACCCTACTTCTAAACATGATATAACCTACTTAGTCTCTTCTTTCTATTACTAAAACTCCTCCAACTAATAAAAATAGGAATGGATTGGCAATTTTGTTTTGTTTGGTGGGTTACAATTGCGTTCTTAATTGTGGCAATTGAAAATCAATAGGAGAACAGGTTGGTGAAATAATGGTTTGTACGCCCTATTAATAAAAATAGAATGGTACCTGGAGGTTTTTTATTAGGGTCCCATCTCATAAGTTTTATTTTTATTCTGATCATTAATGTTTTCATTGGAATATTAAGGGAAAGCTTCGAAATCCAGTTTTTGGCAATATTTTATATAGATTTTAATAAGGGATTTAATCAAATTTGAAATCGTGTTTTTTTATTTTTATCAATAGGATTTGCATTGGAATATTAGGGGCACCCTAATACTAAATGCTCTTTAATAATAAAAATAGATCAACGTGTTTACCGTTTGAGGGGGGTGTTTTAGTATTAGGGTGCAGAGATTACTAGCTGGGGTGAACCATCAAGCAGGAATGTCAATTAGTTGGTTACCATGAGCTCATGCTCTGCCGCTTTGTAGGGGTTGAACATGTCGCTCTTGCCCAGCATCTCCCAAAAGTTGGTTTCAGATCCGTCTTGCAGGGCGGAAAACAGTGGCAAACAACAGCTAACGTGTTCGCTCAAGAAGGTAAGTACCCTCAAATCCAGCAACTTATCATGTGTTTTTTCCCTTGAAGTGGAAATTGTTGTGGTATACCCGGACAAACCCAGATAGATGAATTGACATCCGCATACGTATAATATAATATATATATATATTTTATATTCCATTGTATTCGGATCAAATATACCAGATTGTTGGCATTCCTTGATGGTTACATCCCCTTTCTAAAGGGCTTTGGACTGGGCGTCAGTCAGGAGGGAGAACTGGCCATTGTGAAGGCTGGTGATGGGGAAGCCATTGTTTGGAAATGTCTACTCACACATGTATGTCTATAATTGTGTACATATATAATATGTATGATATGTGAGTAATAATATATATATATGATTTATATGTACATATATGTATACAACTAACGAGCCTTCCATATTTGGAGATGGCTCCGACCAACGAGCAAGGCTAGCCTCTTTTTGGGATGGTGAATTTGTTCATGTGCCTCTTGGGACTAATGAATTGATCTGTCTAATTGATCGACCATGTGGGACCTGGAGAATTTGAAGCATCCATCATTTCGTAAAACTATAACCCTTTAGGTGAGTAGTGGTTTAAATCTTGGCTAATAGTCTTGGCATTTGATGGTTCGCGCCAGTTCCTGGCAGAAACTTTGTTGTTAGATGATTTTCCGCAAGACGGAAAGTGGTTTGGTCCCTATGAAAAAAGAACTGTGGGGTGGAGCACATGCAAGGACGATTGAACCAAAAATGCTTGTACAACATGATTCGCACACACCTAGCAGTATGTCCACCACAAACCGATGGGATAACTGTGTTGATTGTCACGTGCCAGGCCGCCAAGAAGGCGGGGGTGCCCTACATGCTGCCAACTTTGAGCTCCTACACCTTGGACGAGATGTTGGAAGCTCGGGCTCCTGACCAGGTGGTGTTCTCTCAGCTCTACGTGAATCCTGAGAGGTCCCGAACGGAGGAGTACGTCTCCAAGCTTGAGAAGGCAGGCGTCCAGGCATTGTTCGTGACCGTGGATGCTCCTCAGCTGGGACGTCGTGAGAAGGACATGCGCAACAAGTTCACTCAGCAGGGCTCCGATGTGCAGGGTGATGATGAGGATGAAGGCGCAGTGGACCGTTCCCAGGGAGCCACTCGTGCCATCAGCAGCTACATTGACCCTGGCCTCAACTGGGAGGACGTGCCATGGCTCAAGAAGATTACCTCCATGAAGGTGCTCCTGAAGGGTGTGCAGTGTGGAGAGGATGCCGTTGAGGCCTTCAAGGCTGGTTTGGCTGGCTGCGTCCTGTCCAACCACGGTGGACGTCAGCTCGACACCTGCCGTCCTGGCATTGAGGTGCTGCCTGAGGTCATGGAAGCCTTGAAGGAGGCAGGCGCTACCAAGGAGAACTTTGCCGTTTTCATTGATGGAGGTGTCCGTCGTGGTGGCGACATCTTCAAGGCAGTTGCTTTGGGTGCGCAGGCCTGCGGTGTGGGCCGACCTGTCTTGTACTCCCTGGCCTCGTACGGCCAGAACGGCATCGTGCGCATGGTCCACATGCTGCAGGACGAGTTGCAGATGGTCATGCGCTTGGCTGGCACACCAAACATCCCATCCATCACTGAGAAGCACGTGATCACCACCAACCTGGCTGACCACATCGTGCCACTCCCCGTGGACAACCTCACCATGAAGACCTACCAGGGCTTGGAGCCAGCAGCCAAGCTTTAAGTCTGCAGGCGGGATAGTCATGAAGCTGTGCCGAGGATCCATGGCTGAATCGTCGTGTTTCTTTGGCCATGGCATGAAGCAGATCAGATCGATGACACATATTTAATGCTCCAAAGCAATAATTCAGAAGAACCATGACGTCATCTTCGACCAGGCGAAGCGGAGCAGATCATGCAGGTCTGGTTTAGCATCTGAATCAGATGCTAGGAGCGTCATGGAGCGTCGGGTTGTTTGGCATCTTGCGGAATCTCACCAGATCTCACCAGAGATGATTCCGGATGCATGGGACTGGGATAGTGGATCAGTATGGATCAGTTGATTGCTGGAATGACCATCCGGTGGTTTCAGGAAGATCTAGCAGCTTTTTGTCTCAATACATGGAGCAGTCGGACAATGTTGGAATGGTGAAGTATCAGGCATTTTTTGAGGCAAGAGGTGAACCTTAAATTTTGGTGCAAACCAGCACTTGGCAGTCTAGAAAGTGAATCCAATACTGATTCGCCTTTGAGAACGAAGTCAAGGTATATCAAAACTATCAAGTGTTCTCATCAATCCAAATCCATGATAAGTTTCCCCCATGAAAAAACTCTGGTTTTAGTCACCAAGAGTGATCAACAAATAATATCTGCGCTCTGCGCTCGACAGGACAAGGGCATATAGATGATGGTTTCTTCTGTCCATAGTTTCAAGCTTGGAAGCAGAGAGAGTCTGGATGATTGCTACATCCGTGAAAGGTGTGTAGATGTGTGTAGCCTGATGAACCAACATAGACCTTTGTCTCAACAGCGAGCTAAATCCAAGACCTTTCCGCTCCATTCTGATCATGTCACTCGCTGAAGAACGTCTTCTCAATGAACGGTTTGCTAAGTTTGATCATTGACAAACATCATTTTCCATCCGTACCTTTGACATGTGATTTTCCATCGCTTGCCACATCCATCATGCCTCACCTGTGGAGCAGAAGTCCAGGGTATTTCAGAGGCTACTCCACTCCAAAAAAGATAGAAGAGTGAAACACTTCTGAAACTCGTAGGAATGTGTTGATATATGATTTGCAATGATGCCTATTATATAAAACCTTATCTTTTTGGGGCACTCCCACAAACTACAAAATACATCAAAATACTATGATATCAAATCCATTTGCTGGTTGAGGATCTAAACCAGAATCCGGCAGATCTTTTGACTGCAGCGAGTTGACCATGAAACGCGCTTCCGTAGTGCACCGTGCTGCATCATGCGGAGGAAATCGTGTGATGTGTTCCTAATCAGCCAAGCTAGGCTTGGCAAAGAAGAGCATCGCGGGATCGCTTATCATTGGTTTTCCCGGGAAGAACTGGCCATTTTTTTCCATTTTTGGTCTATCCCACGGTATCCCACTTGATACTTTGAGACACAGCCAGATGCAACCGAAAAACATCGAAAAACACTCCGCATGATCCAGCGCTCTTTTTTCTGTGCTGCACACGTTGAACGTGCAGCGAGCGCCGTGGCAAAGTTAAATGTGAGCCCGGCCCAAACTTCGCCCGTGACGATGCGAAACAAAAGTGCCGAGCTCGCTGTTGAGGGGTCTGAAGATACGCAGTTCTTAGGATATCGGTGATATCTGCATTGGTCAAAAGTGTATCCCCAAAAGCCCAAAAGTAGATGGACCATGATTCCCCCATATTCCACCATATTCTAAGAACCAGATGCATATATGTATATGACAAGAAGGTTGTGAAACACAGCATTGTCCACATGGACTTGCAATCATTGCGATCCTGATTTTCCAAGGCAAAGACTGGGAAGCCAAAGCAATTCACCGGAAACTGTTGTATGGAAAAAAACCTCGAGCTCAAAACATATGACAGAGCGCGATAAGGAGTTGTTAGGGAACTGTTTGCTTGGTTCTCTCCATTATCTGGCCGGCAGCAATATCGTTTCAGCACAACGGCCACGATTTGTGCCTGGCTCCAGCTTTTCCATACTGCACTGCATTGATCTCACTCTTCAGCCGTTGCAGCACCATGGCTTCCGATAAGGCCGGGAATCCAACACGTCGGTAAACTGTTGACCTGGCTATGCATCAACATCCAAGAGTGGTAGATTTGAATGGAACAGTAAGCATGACCATTGTGCGGGCATGTGCGGGCTATTGGTACTCTATCTTTTCCGCTTTCTTTGGTTGATCAATAGAGGGGTTCCCCGTTCGCCGTTGAATGCTGGAGGTTCTGAGCATGGAGGAGGTGGCCAAGCACAACACCAAGGACGGGATGTTGGGGCCGCCGGGGCCATGGGGTGATTTTACGTCTGGGTGGTTTGATTTAATAGATGATAGTAGTAACATGTACCAACCACCAGAAATAATATAATTATATATATATAAGTACTAATCTATACTAATCTATAGTGATAGTTTCTTTATACATCTTTATACCATCTAACTAAAGAAACATGTTATCCATTATCCACATAAAGAATCACCGATAATTACAATGGTAGACTCGAGTACTCATTGTCATAGTAGTGACAATATAGATCATGGTCTGTTCATTATGATAGTATGATACTAAGATTTAGTGCAATTAATGGTAATAATATGTAATGTATAATTATTCATTACTGCCATGTTTGATGAAATTGCATGTGACTAATGGGAAGTAAGCTGATTATATATTTAAATGTTCTACTCATGACTCACGTTTTCCAGGTGGATCAATTACCAGGGTTTCGAAAGTGATCATTTGGTGGATAAAAATATAGTTGCTGTGTAGCTTTGATAAAGATGCTCAACAGTGTGCCACCAGGATGGTAGTTTGATGTTTTCCCCATATTTCCCGGGTTGCAACTTTTCGGCATCTGGGGGTTGCTGTATGTATTCGCATTGAATCTTCCAACCCCAAGCTATGACATGGCTTTTCAGTTGGTGAAGCAGAGACTTACCCGGGGCAGGTGTTCATTCAAATTGATTGGGTTCTCAAGTGACCCGACTTAGCACAGGATCATTGCACCTTGTAATTGAGTGCTTGATTTTTACCCAGCTATCAAGTTTCTCAAACTGAGTTGAACCTCCATTGTCTTCCCCACCTCCCTCCAGCAACAATGTCCAACTTGAAGCCAGAGTTCACAAGGCCTAAGGTCTTGCAATTCCTGAAGCAATGGCTATTTTTTCCAGCGAACCCCAGTTTTTCTTTTTATTTTTGGCAACCTCCAGGACGACTGCTGGGTTGTGCTGTATGGCAAGGCGCTGAGGGATCTGTTGCGGATACAAACAGCTCCGGCTGCACGTATCCAATATTGGCCATGCAGAGTAGATGCATCAATGATTGGTTTTAGCAACCACGACTGTCGAATTGTTGTTCCCTTTCTATTGCGAAAACATGGGCCGGTAGACCTACCAAAGCAAAGTGGAACAACGGTCATGGGGATCAGATACAAATGTGGTAAACCTATGCCACAAATCTGGGGATGGTTTCTATCCAATTCTGTTACAGTAAGTCCTATTCTACATCCATGATATGACTACTTTGTCATATTTCAGACAATTTTGAGGGATAGTGGATATCTGCTTGGTGGTTCACCCCAGTTATTTTACAACCCCAGTTCAGCCAGTTGGGCCAGTTGGGAAAGTGATAGTAGGTCGATGTAAGTCGGGTTAGTCCAGCTTTTTGAGTGGCTTTGGTGGCCATGTTGTACCCTCTGGTAAACTAACATAACTATGGAAAATCACCATTTTTTGTGGGAAAATCCATGAAAATCCACTATAAATGGCCATTTTCAATAGCTATGTTAAATTACCAGAGGGTAATCTACTTCCCCAGGGCCCCCAGGGCTTTCCCCACGCGTCGCCTCGACGGGGAGGCCTACGACTTGACCAAGTTCGCCAAGGTCCATCCCGGAGGCGCCAAGCTCATCACGGACGCTGCTGGGATGGATGCCACCGCCATCTTCGATCCCATCCATCCCAAGGTGGGAAGGAGGTAACGATGACGGTGATGCTGGGGTTCTTGGGAGATGGAGATGGTCCTTCAAAAACAAGATATTTGTTCACGCCATGTTTAATGATGTTATCACATTGCAATATTCAATATATAATATATTTAATTAAGTATACAGTATGTTTATATCAATGTTATATTTATTTGTTATGTTTTGTTTTTTGGGGTTTGGTGAGTTTGGTGGTGAAGTACCGTGGCTGGAACTACCGGTGGCGTTTGTCGGCAATCTTTACGGAAACGATGATTCTTCCATGTTTGGATATTCTTTGGGGAAATTTGCCTCCAGATGACTTGCCATGAGTTGGGGGTTGGAACTGGTTGGAAGACAACTTTCCAAAAATTTGAAAGGCGATTCCCAGATTCAGAATCATGCAATATCCCACATCCCATTGTATCCCCATTAAACCATCAGGTTCACTGATTAAACTTAAATCCTTGACATGGTTAAAGAGTTAAACCTCAAAATCTCCTACCATCCCAAGAAAATGCAGCCGGCCCCTTGCCTTGCGCGCTTCTAGCCGTTGCTCGGGCCTGGTAGGATATCATGGACAAGCTGCTGAAACCCTCCTTGACCATGGGCGTTTGATCCTGAGGATTGTGTAAAATCGACCGGACTGGTAAAAGGTGAAATCATTGGCTTGATTTTGATGAGAAAATGTCAGAATTAGCAACTCAGCTTTTGTTTGCAAAGCATCTAACATTCGCAATGCAATGTGAAGCTGTGGTGGCAGATCAGCCCCCCAATGAACAGTTTTGCCAAGGCTGAAAGATTTGAAGACCCGGAAACGATATCCACAGATCTCGAGATATATAGAGAAATGTCTTACACGAGTATCAAATAGAGGGATATTTTGATTGTTTTATTTGATTGATTGATGAAACGGATTTCAACGGCATATGTTCACATCTCATTTCATCAAAATCCCCTGGATATGCCGTCGAGGTCGTGGATGCAGCCACCATCAAGCCGGAGCATGTTGCCAAGCCTCCTGAGGCCGAAACACGGTTGGACTTCTTTGGACACTGGATTTTAAGCGATTCAACTATCTCAATATCTATGGATTCAAGGATCTCAACATATCTCAAAAGATCTCAAAATCTACGGTTTCGGAAGATTCGTTTTTCCTATGCTGCTTCAACTTTTGCTCCGTGATCCATCTTGAAAACGGAGCTGGACCTGGTGATACCAACTGCGTTTTCACCTAGTAGAACTTTTTCCAACCGGCAATGAGCATCATTGAGTCATTGAGCATCAGTATGTGGCATTTTCGCATTTCGGTGACTTGAGATCTCCCATATAATCTACGCAACGTTTACGTTGAATCGACCATCCCACCCAGCAAGGTCCTCGGGGTTCCGCCATTGTAGACCTGCCATGATGGCGAAGCGGGTCCACAAAAAGCCAACCCTAAAGTTGGGACACTTTTCTTGAGACGAAAAAACAATACAAAACAAACATAAACATAACCAGAGTGTAAAATGGTGGCTTTTTGATGTTGTTTTTGATTGGTGTGCCCTTTCCTGCCAGCCGGTCGAAAAAGGCACACAAGCCAAAACCCAAGAAGAAGGCTGTTGCGACCTCAGGGCCTCGGGGTGGGTCCATGTCCCATACATTCCAAGGATTTGCAACAGGAACACATGACAGACCCCAATTGTTTGTGTTTATTATTATTATATTATTATTATATATTATTATTATTATTACTATTATTATTATTATATATTACTATTATTATTATTACTATTATTATTATTATCACTATTATTACTGTTTTGAATGTGATGCAAATGAAAGCACTATAGCAGCATAGTATAGGTCAGCTTTGTGGCCAATGCCTTCATCGCGGCTGATCCAAGGTGAAGGCTGACGCGGCCGAGGAGGAGATCGAGGAGTTCAAGAAGCCTCCTCTGGCGGCGCCTTGGGCTATGGAGGTTAGTTGGATGGCTTATTTCCATAGAAAATCCAATTAGAAATGGATGATTGTGAGGTACTCCCATATTTTAGGAAACCTCCAATATGGTTAAATATGGTTAAATATGTTTAAATCACTTATAAAAGTTGATATATTTGATGTTTTGCCATCTTTTGCCACAAGTGGCAGCATGTCCTAACCGTTGCTAACCAGCTCTTACAGAGGGGTATTTCAGACTGGCCATTTTTTGACCTTACTGGCCGACCAAGCCCAGAAAAGTGTGCGAGTTTGGGCCATTTTATGTTTTTCTGGTTGGTGATTTGGAACATTTTTTATTTTCCATATATTGGGAATAATCATCCCAATTGATTAATATTTTTCGGAGGGGTTGAAACCACCAACCCGTTTTGTATGGTATAATTTGCGCAGAATGACGTTGATATGACATGATATGACCGGAATCAAATTTGGCTCAGGGTTCTGGGTATGTGCATTGCGCCTGTGGTGAACCATGTTTTGGTGTCTGATTGTGACTCAAGAGACACTTAAAGATCAAATGTTCGATGCCTGCACATCAAATCTGGGTCACTTTTAGCAACCTCAAACTGCCAAGCCTCAGAGATCATGTTTGATGTTTGGGAAAACATCAATTTCACATAGTTTCATGACCTTGAACCAATCACGTTGGGATCTACACGAAACGACTATCCAAGTATTGAGAACCCAAGAGGTTGGTGCATTTTATCTCTGGTCCCAGGTTGTGTCAGAGCCAGGTCGGGATAGGCATAGGTCAAAAATTACAAGCTTGGGGATCACATTGGATGAGTCGTTGAGGATCCTAAACCATCATGAACCTATTTTTTTGGGGGGTATGGCTCAGAATTCTCCGAATTTCCCGTCAAATCAGCCATATTCAAATTCCAAGGCAAGCCTGAGATCAACCATTGACACCAATGATCAACCAATGATATACCCTCTGGGTTATGACTAACATAGCCATGGTATAGATGGCCCATAGAAATAGATGGTTTCCCTTTTGAAAATGGTGATTTTCCATGGCTATGTTAAATAACCAAATGGTACCATTCTTGGTTGCATCCAAAAAAAAAGTACCCGATAGTATCGGACCGATCCCCTAATCTCCCATTTCACTAGGGCGAGACACTACTTGGGGGTGCAGTTCCAGTTGCCAGTGGATATATAACCACAGCTACAGGTGTTCTAAGTTATACTGTATATAGATATGGAAGTTATTACCATATAGCGATTAATTGCAGGTGTTATATCCCAACCTATGGAGGTTATTGCCATAGTTATGCCATTAGTTTACCCATACTGCCGCAACTAAGGCGATGCTGAACAGCTTCGACTTTGAGTCGGTGGCACGCGAGGCAATTGCTGCCAATGGTTGGCTTTTCGCAGGGGAGAAAGATGGTTGGGCCAAGAAATTCAGCGTAATTTTTTGTAGGATATCATAAATCATAAAATCATATAAACTCAAATGAATTTGCCTTGAAACTGCTGAATTTGATGGATGTTGGTCCTCTCTCCTTATGCTTTGAGATTGTTAGCGTGATATCAATACATGTGGTTGTAAGTGCAAATGGGGGTACCCCAACTTGGACGGTCTACTCGTAGAACCCGCTCGTCAATCTGTGTCATTCAGATTTTGGCAAGAAATATCAAGCTTTTGCTACCCACTCACGTTGAAATCATAAATCCGCAAGTCAATGACGTCAATGACAGGGTATTGGTAGTGACATATCGTTTTTATCTAGTTGAACGTTACACAGTACTTAAGTGGGATAATCCCTCAAATTGAGGCCTTGAGATCACCAGGGTTACTAGTGGGGGGCGTAGCCACTTTTCAAGTAATTAGTAGTTGTTGTGTTGGCTTTATCCACATTAGAAGTTGGTTAACCCCCAATTGTTTGTTTTGGTACACCCGAGTTGACCCATCTCTTGGTGGATTTTACACCCCATGACTTTCTGATCAAATCCCTCTTAGAACAAACTATCCTCAGTATTTTGCGTGTTCAACACATATCTAACACAGTTTGATGCCACCCATGATTGTTGCACGGGTACCCCTATTACTACATCCCCAGGGTTTTTCAACGGGTATCTAGCCGAGTAGCCCTCCCACAATTTTCAGTGGATGGTGAAGGTTCACAGGGAGGTCCCAAAAAGATTCCGAAAGGTGTGCCACCAGGATGGTAGTTGGATGCTGTTCGGCATCTATTTTGGTGCTGCTACATATATATATATTATATGATTATATGCTTGTATATATATATACATATTATATATATTATGTATATATATATGTATACATATGTACATACACATATGTATGTACATATATGTATGTATGTATGTAATGTAATGGAATGGAATGGAATGGAATGGAATATAATGTAATGTATGTATGTGTGTACTTACATATTTCTATCAACTTAGGACATGGCAAATCATCCAAGCCATTAGAGCATGACTTAGTTTTAAATCAGCCATGATGACTTGAGGATACCCTATTTCAAGAAGAACTCAAATAGATATTCAATGACTTCATCCTCGAATCTTTATCGGAATACTGTATCCAGGGTGAGCCATTAATATGGGAAAGAGTTCTCTGAAAGAAAGCTATTGATGGGAACACATATACATATATATATACACACTGTACAAGGCTTAACATTTTTAGTGGATATAATTCTATGTCTATAAATATAGTTATATAAATAAATACCAATCCCAAAATAGATAGAAACATTGAACAAATGAGGTGAATATCATCGAACTACCATCCTGGAAGCACTTGTTCGCATCTTTTTGGGGGTTACCATAAATCGCATAAGTATCCATAAATTATAGTTCATTAAAATCCCGATGATATTCCCATTAAATCCCATGAAATTCCAATATAGTTGAGTGCATTCCCAGTACATCCCCCATATAAAATGGAAATTTACCATTTTTTGTAGCTAGATCATCATAAATCATCGAACTCAATCGGCCATGGCTTCCATGGCTATGTTAGATATGCAGAGGGACCTAAGGAGCTACGAGTTGAGTTTCCCAACCATATGATAGTTGATTCAATCCCATTCAGTCCTCTTCAATCCCATTAAGTCCCATTCAATCCCATTCAGTCCTCTTCAATCCCATTAAGTCCCATTCAATCCCATTCAGTCCTCTTCAATCCCATTAAGTCCCATTCAATCCCATTCAGTCCTCTTCAATCCCATTAAGTCCCATTCAATCCCATTCAGTCCTCTTCAATCCCATTAAGTCCCATTCAATCCCATTCAGTCCTCTTCAATCCCATTAAGTCCCATTCAATCCCATTCAGTCCTCTTCATTCCCATTAAGTCCCATTCAATCCCATTCAGTCCTCTTCAATCCCATTAAGTCCCATTCAATCCCAGTCAGTCCTCTTCAATCCCATTAAGTCCCATTCAATCCCATTCAGTCCTATTCAATCCAATATAGCTATGTCGGCTACGTTTGAAAATTTTCTACTATAAATGTATATGAAATCATGGGCGATGCAATCGAAGCAATCACAGCCTTGTTGCAGGTTATGGAGCCTCAGGCCTGGGGATACTACTCCAGTGGAGGCGACTTGGTGGGTTTTTGATGATTTTCTATATCTATGTAACTAATGATTGTTGGGTTTGTTTGTTAGATTTGTTTGTTGGGTTTGTTTGTCAGTTCTTGAATATTCACCACCAAACCTGTTAGACACGATGTTCTTTGATTTTCTATGATTCTCTATAATGTCTAATGTGAATTAGCAATAACTATTGATATGAATCAATCATATCATATCATGATCATATCATTAATGGGTTTGTCCAGAAGTGGGGAATCTAACCGTTAAACATTTTATAGGATATGTCATCAATCATTTTATAGGCTAATGGGATATACAGTACAACCAATATGATATCTGGCTTGGAGTAGAAAATTGCTACAAAATCGTCGGGACAATGCGCTTTGAAACCATTGGATTTGGGTGTAGTCTCTATGCTATCGATCGATCTGAATGTGTTTGATACGAGTATGGTATATTTAATTTTGTACTGTATATTGTATGTGTTATATATATATATATTGTATGTGTTATATATATATTAATTTATATTACAGCATCTTTATACATACATAGAGCAGTCCTTGTTATTTCTTCCCGGGTGGTAACTTTCCAGAAGTGGGGACTTACCATGGTTTCAGAACTCACCTGACGAGGGAAAAACTGCAGGCGTTTGGGATAAATGGGATAAATACACTTACGATTTCAGCTTTTAAGGTTTGGGATTGAACAAACACATAGTTTTTGTATGTTTTTGTTGTTTTCCCCATTGGTTGCTTCAACATCAATGGAACCACAGGATCTGGCTGCAGCCTACAGCTGCCTGAGGTGATGATGAGATCACACTGCGTGACAACCACTTGGCCTTCCAGAGGACTGTTTTTTTTTTTCTCCATCTACTTATATAGGAACTGGTGAATAACCATGGTTAGGAAATCCTCCAACTGCCTGGGGTTATCCGGCTATTCCGTATAAGTAGATATAACTTATAACCCCAGTTAAGGAAGCTGATCTGTTGCTCTGGAGGTGTGAGGTGTTTTTTCTTGCACAATTTTCGACGAGAAAGATATGATGATAATGATTATTATGAGGATGTGATGATGAGCAGGAGGAGGACGAAATTAACTTGGTGAGTATGATTGGAAACCCCTTCTCTAGTATCATCTAGTATCATCTAGTATCATCTAATATCAATCCGTGATCAACCAACTATCTCGCAATTATACTAGCTCTTTAGATCGCTTTAACCTGCTGAACAAAAATGCACCCCCGATAAATTCATCAACGATCCAAATCTAGCTACAACCTGGTTATAGATGGGTGTTATGTATCGATTCCCCAGAGACAAATGTCTACCATTTGAATTGGAAGACCTATTGAACCAACCCTCTGGTTATGACTAACATAGCCACGGGAAATGGTCCATTTCTAGATGGTTTACCTATTAAAGATGGGTGGATTTTCCATGGCAAACTGCTAGTCATAACCAGATGGTACACCGAAACCGGAACTCCACACGTGGAACCACGGGCTCCACGGAGAGACCTGAGATCTGCCACAGGATCACCATGCGCCCCCGTATTTTGGTGAACGTCCGCGAAATCGACATGACCACGACACTTGGTCAGAGAGACCTTGGCATATCTAGGGACAAACAGGGACAAACATGTTTTTTTTTCTGGGAATTTCCATGAATTTCCAACAACAAAGAATGGGGGTATGATCAACCGGAATGATGTTTGAATATTTAAGGCACAAAACACGATGAAATTGTAGTTGCAGGCACCAAACATGGGGATTTGCTTGCCATGAAGTGGGGATATATTTGGATACAGCGGATGCAACAGGTAAATCCATTCTTTCAACATCTGTTTTCATTGTTTAATTCACATTCCTGTTTCTCAAGGCCCAATTTCTGCTGCCTAAACTTAAACCCATTGTTTGTTGGTTCTGTATATTCACTTAAAGAGTCATTCTGCTAGTCAAATCTGTTTAGTCCCAGTTCTTGTTGTTGACACAGATTCTATACCTCCCTGAATTCGATGAAGCGAGAGCTTATCGCTTTGACCCCCATTTGCATCAGCATTTCCAATGGTAAACACCGGGCTTTCAATTGAATCAGCCCAATAGAAATTGCTGGAAAAATGGGTGATAGTTCCATTATGTTCCCAATTCAACGTGATTTCCATTGAAAAAAACATGTAATTAAAAACCTGGGTTTTTCCATGGTTTTTCCATGGTTATCCAGGTGATATGTTCCTCGAATCGACCCAGTGGAAGCAGCCAGGAAGATCCTGAACGTCCCCGCGGCCCTGCCATTGTACTTCACTGCCACCGCCTTGGCGAAATTGGCCCACCAGGCAGATGAAGCGCGGGGAACGATGAAGGTTATCATATATTATGGCTTAAGTATATAACCCAACTAGACTTAGTATATAAATGTATATACATAACCATATATATATAACCCAACTTGTATATAAATGATCATACATGTATATAGCCCAACTATTGTATATAACCAAATTATATTTCCATATAAGCCAATTATACGGGGGTCCCACTTCCCGGAATGGCTTAGTTATGATAATAAATTGAGGCTATCCATTTAGAAGCCAATGATATATCTTGTTGCTCAGCAAGTCGCTGAAGCTTCTGGATTCGCCTCACAAGCAGCTGGTCATCTTCTGCAGTGGTAAGAAGTGGTTAGGTTAGTCAAAGATGAATAAGTTGTAACAGAATTCAGCCAGAATTATGACATCTTATCACATAAAAAATCAGGATTTGTTCGGCGAGTGGGTTGCCCCAATATGAGACATCCTGATGGTCCCTAGAGATCCCTATACTATTGATGGATTTTGTCGTCGATGTTCTCATGGTAACTATGATGGCATTGTTATTTCGCTCAACCACTGGTGAAGTGGTCAACCATGGGTTGGTGGTTTGAAATTGCAGAAACCGAACATATGAAAGAGATTATGTCATTATGGGGTGTCGCCAGAATTCCAAACCAGTAACCCAAACCACCAGGTAACCATTGCCTTATACGTACTTATACGTACTTATACGCAATATTTGCAAGATCTATTACATATACGTATGCATAACATACATATGTATATATATATATATATATGAATGAATAGATAGATAGATAGATAGATAGGTAGATAGGTAGATAGGTAGATAGGTAGATAGGTAGTTAGATCAATAGATGGATAGATAGATAGATCTCCATATGCACTGTACATCTACAGATGTTTGAATCTGATCCTGGTGCAGGAGGGTGAGCTGGCAATTGTGAAGGCCTGAAGGGGCTGGAGCATCCGGCAAGAAGGGCCTTGAGGGAAAGCAGTCATGGTATATCATAGGTGTAAGGTACTTGATGGGTACATTACATCATATTATATCAATATATCGTGTTTATGTATTAATGTATATACATATGTACACATTGTGTTACATGATTTTAGATCATATGTGTGTTTGGCTTGCTGTTTGAGACTGAGTTTGAGATTGTTGCCTTGTTTCTTTTCTTGTGCTCTGATTTTGAGAGTCAAGTTGTTTCAAAAGACCAGCGGGTACTCTGTCAGAAACCAAGTAGGCTTGCTTGCATGCTGCCAGTCAGAAACTTGACGAGTTAGAGGCATACCAATGCCTGACACTTCTGAATCTAAAGATTTATAAAGACCTCTATATAAACTCCAAACGATGAATACACAGGGTCTATTGCTGTTAAGGCGGCTTGTCCACGGATTCGCTGCTAGTCCTCGTAAAGTTGTTTTTCCAGCCAAATGGGGATTGTACCTTTTTACACACGTTTTCAGCGATCCTTCCTGAAATCAATGCAGATTCCTTTCCGCCTGCCAGGCCGCCAAGAAGGCGGGGGTGCCCTACATGCTGCCAACTTTGAGCTCCTACACCTTGGACGAGATGTTGGAAGCTCGGGCTCCTGACCAGGTGGTGTTCTCTCAGCTCTACGTGAATCCTGAGAGGTCCCGAACGGAGGAGTACGTCTCCAAGCTTGAGAAGGCAGGCGTCCAGGCATTGTTCGTGACCGTGGATGCTCCTCAGCTGGGACGTCGTGAGAAGGACATGCGCAACAAGTTCACTCAGCAGGGCTCCGATGTGCAGGGTGATGATGAGGATGAAGGCGCAGTGGACCGTTCCCAGGGAGCCACTCGTGCCATCAGCAGCTACATTGACCCTGGCCTCAACTGGGAGGACGTGCCATGGCTCAAGAAGATTACCTCCATGAAGGTGCTCCTGAAGGGTGTGCAGTGTGGAGAGGATGCCGTTGAGGCCTTCAAGGCTGGTTTGGCTGGCTGCGTCCTGTCCAACCACGGTGGACGTCAGCTCGACACCTGCCGTCCTGGCATTGAGGTGCTGCCTGAGGTCATGGAAGCCTTGAAGGAGGCAGGCGCTACCAAGGAGAACTTTGCCGTTTTCATTGATGGAGGTGTCCGTCGTGGTGGCGACATCTTCAAGGCAGTTGCTTTGGGTGCGCAGGCCTGCGGTGTGGGCCGTCCTGTCTTGTACTCCCTGGCCTCGTACGGCCAGAACGGCATCGTGCGCATGGTCCACATGCTGCAGGACGAGTTGCAGATGGTCATGCGCTTGGCTGGCACACCAAACATCCCATCCATCACTGAGAAGCACGTGATCACCACCAACCTGGCTGACCACATCGTGCCACTCCCCGTGGACAACCTCACCATGAAGACCTACCAGGGCTTGGAGCCAGCAGCCAAGCTTTAAGTCTGAATGCAGATTAAGGCAGGGGTTTGATCATGTGCAAGTTGACGCTTGCTGATTTGATTTCCCTTGTGCAGCTGTCCCCGATTCTTGATGTGTCAAGGGAACGAAATTGGCACATTTACAGTACTGATCAGTACATCAAAATGGTCACACTTCAATTGTCAATCTGCAGGATGAACTGAACTTCAGTTCTTTGACGCTTGGCTTTGGGGGGTTGATGGGTGCCTGGATATGATATAATCTGCAAATATCTGCAAATTGCCTAGCTTCAGCACTATTGTGCTGTACCATGCTTTGTGAATCTGTGGCCCATGTTGAATGTTGATCCGATGAAATGCTTACGTCTGAGTGGGAACAGAATATACCATCTCCGTTTGGGAATCAAGTTCCGTGGCTAGCTGGGAAATCCACCAATTTAATGGAGGTCTTTTCGCTGGGAGAAGCATCAATTTTTATGGGGAATGGATTCCATTGCTATGCACAACTTTGAACGAGGTCACTCAAACCGCAGGTCAAAGCACAACGCAGCTTTTTCCTGGAACTGCCCTAAACTACTTGTCCAAGCTTTCGTCCTCTTTCGGGACTCTTTCAGGGATTGGCAGCCCAAAATGCTGCAAACATGTACGCATGCCATGGAAATTTCAACAACGAACATGCGCACAAATCTCTCAAGCGTGACAAGGAATTTTTTTTTTCTTGATTACCGGGTAATCTTGGAGGGAAACCAACAGGGCTTTTTGGCCCGGATATTGGATTCGAGGCCTCGAATGAACAATATGAACAATCAATCTGTAAATGTGATGGCAAATGGTATACCAATCCAACCCCAACATCTTTTTCTCAAAGATGCCGTTGATTACCTACCGCGATATGATATCCACTCATAAATATAACTATAGTGACAGTAATACTATGTAACACTGACATCCTGGCATCCATTCACCAGTAACGAAGCACGACTCAGGAGCAAAGGTCAACTAGAGTTGGCCGCTGTCATTGGCAGCAAGTTCTTCGCTTCAATTTTCAAGCGACGTAGGGCTGACTGCCGCTGCGCTTGATGCCAGGCCATGGCTGCTGAATCCCACGTTAACCAAAATGATGATCTCATGATGCCATGGGTCAAAATATGTCAAGGCCGGAATGCGTACCATCCATTCTCTTCCAATATGGTTGCCGGGCACTACAGGGTTTTGACCACACCTAAGAATATTGTTTAGAATCTGCACATGAAAGTTGTAGCATTCCAAAGTGTCTGGCGTGGGGTCACTGCAATTCACATTAATGGAGTGGCATCGATCAAAGTTGATCGTGAGTACAGAACTCCGACCACTGGTGGCATCTGCCACGATGCTTGTCCAGGTTTGAGTGAAATTTTCCTGCAACAATTTCCATGATATCACACGGGTTTGCAATATTTGAACATGTGGCAACACTTCCAAAGATTCTCTGCCGCTTGCCTCAGAACCTGTGACGGTCTTTTCCGAGCGCATCTGATTGCTTCTGTCTCTAGGGTTTGCCACTTTAATTGCCGACTCAGACAGCCGCAAGACACCACCAGCGAACGACAAAAAGGACCGTGCCGATGGGACCATGGGGGGACCTTAGCATCCAGAGTACCAGGCTATGGACCGGTTTGGACCCACACCCATACCATCCATACTTCTATTTCTGTTGGAATTTACAAGGCTTTGTGGGGATGCTTGAAATTATTATAAACCAACCTGTCTTGTGGTACTGATTGACTCCACTCATGTGGGATAAAAAAGCGCACAGCCTGCACAAACCTGCCAGTCTGCCGGTGCCAGGTAAGGGTGTTGAAAGCTTTGGATCATCCTCACGTGATTCGCATCTACGAAGCCTTTGAGAGGCGGCGCACCTGGCACAGATGATCGGATCCGTCATGGTCCTTTTGCTTGGATTTCATGATTCAAAACTTGGGATCCTCCTAGCATCCCGTAATCGTGGAAATTGAACATCCCCTATAGAAATGGCATGAAATGGCTATAAAATGCTATAAATGAGGATTTTCCCTGGCCAGCTGTGATATCTTTGATTACCGGAGGGTACATCACGTGGCTGGTTTTAAAACACACATGGCTTCCCCTGAAATGAGCACAGTGAGGCGCGACACCCTGCATATTGTCATGGACTGGGCCGAGGCTGAGATCATCTTAGGGGGAAAACCCAATTTGTTTGTTGGGTTACCCTCTGGTAAACTAACATAGCTATTGAACATGGCCCACTTATAGTTGATTTACCTATTAAAAATGGTGATTTTCCATAGCTATGTTAATTTACCAGAGGGTAACCCAACATTTGGATGCATTTGGCATACTCCGGAGTAAAAGAAGAACTTAAGTTTACAAAGATCCAGCATTTTGGGGCAGTTTCGGGAGTACACTTCGGCATTTCAGGGTTTTCAACTGTCAAACTTCACCGATCGAAGGTGTCTCTGATCCAATGGAGGCAACTGTTCCTGTGATCGCTGTTTGGAGTTGGTTTTCACTGCGGGGTAAAAACACCTTCTCTGCGCGTGCTGCGTGTCAGGGTGGAACACTGGCAGCAGTCTTGTCCACGCAAAGGACGCAGGGCAGGAGCAACCGAGAACGCCTTGTGGTTACCCTGTGGTAATCAAGCATGGACAGAAAATCCCCAATAAATGATATGATGATACTTGTATCATCCATGAAGGTTTAAATGGGAAAATCACTAGACAGAATATTTTCCAGCCAGCCATGTTTGATTACCACAGAGGGTAAAATTGCTGCATTGTGTTGATAGAAAACATACATTCTCTTTAAAAGGAAATTCGCAGAACCTACCATGTTAGCTTCCCGGTCACGAGATGATGAATCGTTGGCTTGTCAAGACTCAGAAATTGACTTTCAAGATTCTCAAATCTTGGAGTATCAAGATTTGGATTGATTTAGATGTTCCAAATTCCAAAGCACCATGATTCCATAAAATGCCTTCGTTTGCCTTCGTTGCTAGGATGGTATCAGAGGCCTGGGCATGCACTGCAGCGCAGCAGATGTGTGCCGCCTTGGAGTACATTCACTTTAAGGCCGATGGTAGCGATGTGAACCGCTGTGAACCGCTGTGGCTTTTCACGGGTTTTCATCAAGCATCCCCCAGTCATCACCATTTTTATAGGTTTTATAAACCATTCCCAGATGGCTGGTTTATATTGATTTATGGCATTGTTTTACCCACATTAGCCTATGATATTGAAGCCACCAATCAGATGTTCATTGCCCAAGATGGTATTGAATGGTGAGGTGTTTGATGGTTTTTGCCCATTAACATCAATGAGAGTGGTTTGATGTTGACAGTACAACAAACTCTGGTTGCGCATTGCTCTTGGTACTTGCAGACATTTGCAGACTATCTTGTTTGATGGATTCTTCACTGCATGCTCTGAAATGGCGCTTTCCCTGGCTGAAAACACTAGAGGGGTTAACCGGTTAACCCCGTTAGGGTCCCCGTGGCCGATCTGACATCGGTACCCTTAGGCTCAGGGTCTGACCATTGGGGAGGGTTTCGAACCCCCTTTGTTCCCAGTGGTGAAAGATGTCAACACTCAGCCATTGATGCAGAAACACATTCTATCATATGATGTATATAAACACACATATATATATATATTATCAGTATATATAATATTATCACAATATCCCACTATGTCATCTATGTATATCTATGTATATCGCATGTATTCTGTAGGCTAAGATTCATCTTGGTGTCTTTTGGATCACAGCTGGGATCATCTGGGGCAGGGTGTGGTACATTGCGACCTGAAGCCGGAAAATGCGATGCTTTTGCGAGCAGTTGACCCCATGAGGCGTGCTTTGGGACGTGCAGGGTGTGCTTTGGGCGGTCTTTTGGAAGGCTGTTTTTTGGTCGGTGATTCGCGGAGAAATTCTAGGACCGTTCGGATGCAATTGATGGGAGAAAGCCATGGTTTCTCGCAGATGTTCCTCAAATGATCCCAATGACTTGTACCTGATAGCCAGGATTGGTTTTTGGCTTCAGCAATCCAACCTGAGAGTTAAACTGGAATTAGCACGGCGCTGACTGGAAGCCAAGGACGTTGAGACACTTTTTTCTTTAATACAAGTCCATCAATGAGATCAAGGTTAGAAATTATTTGCTTCCGACCTTGTTCGATTTGCTTCACCCACAACATCCCACATGATTCCTGTCTCGTTTCATTTCATATCATTTCATTTAGTAATATGGTAACCCCCACAAAGAATCAAACAGATAGGACCACAGTTTGCTACTTACCACAATTTCCGTCGGAGTTGACTTTCCTCTATTTTTCAAAGGGGCTTGCAATTTTTCAGATGCTACCTGCACCGATGGCGTCCCAAGCCCCGCGTTGGCCAAGGAACGAAGCTCCACACTTGGTCTTAGTGGACTTTGGATTGGCTGAGATTGTGGAGGCGATCGACCACCGATTCTGCCAAATCGTGAGAGAAATCATCAAATGAATAGGATATTGACGGTGATACAAGAATGATCCCATCTTAAATACTCTAAAATAATCATCTTATCAATTGTAGAATTGTAGATGCTCCACGTTAATCCATGTTATACATTAATCATCATTAATCGATAATGGATTGTAACATATTATAATAATCAATAATCACCGGAGGAATTGGCACCAACTAAAGATTTTTTTTCCAACGAACAGGAAGAGCATTTGGATCAATGGCTGGTGATATGCTCCAGTAAATTTACCCAATGGATTCGGAACATCCACTGGTAATTACCCTCTGGTAATTTAACATAGTTATTGAACATGGCCCATGGAAATAGTTGATTTACCCACTAAACATGGTGGTTTTCAACAGCTATGTTAGTTTACCAGAGGGTAGATAAGAATATGGCATTTTCCTTGGATTTGATTGTGGGTTTTCCATCTACGTTAGATTACCTCAATGTATAAAACACAAAGTTGGTTTGTTTCAAACGTAAAGCCTTGGGTGAACTGGACCTGGCAGGAAAAAGAATCTAATGCATAAAACAAATGATAGCGTCTAGTAGCTGAGAAAATACATAACTTACCTATACTTATCTCTTGTAAGTAATATTTATTTACTGCCAAAATACAGTCTTATATAATATAGATGTATGTACACAAAATACACAAAAACACATACTATATATATATATATACATATTTATATATGTATATATCATCTACATATATATATATATAGATACTGTAGAGATACTGTACAGATCTAGTAGACAAACCACTTATCTTCGCCCTTGGGCGCCCAGCAACTGTACAGGCGCGCCAGAACGGGGGTCCATTGATGATCCGCGGCACTGCGGTGTATCTGTCGCCTGAAGGCTTCGAGGCGCCCGTGGGGCTGTTGGAATCAATCAAGCCAATGTAGGCATACGATGAATTATATACTGTATATATATATATGTGTGTGAGACACATAGATGGACATATATATATATATATATATATATTGCATTAATAATAAGTATTGATATATATATATATGTACATATACATATGCACATGTAAGGAAAAAAACATATGTCTAAGCCATATTCCACTGAGCCTTCAGGGACACCTCACTGAGAAGAGCGACCTCTGGGTAGAGGACCCAGTCGTGATCGAACGCTGAGATCGTGTTGGTTACCTGGTTACCGTAAAAAAAAACAAAACAAAACATTTTTGATAGGTAAAACATGTTTGTCATTTATAAATATTGGTTTATGGCCCAAAAAAACATCATCAGTAGTTATAACCCGCTACATTCATCATTAATGTTCCTCATCGCCATGCAACTTCACCATCTCCATCCCAAGTATTTTCCAACAACTTACCATATTTGACTATATTACTTGGACATATTATATAAATGTTTTTACCATAATCGTTTCCAACAAATTTATCATAGATTACCATATTTTACCATATGTTACCATATTTTTTACCATAATCTACGGATCTACCATATGTTTTACTATCATTTCCAGTGTTTTTTCCCATTGTTTTTCCCCATTTTTACTCCGCCAAAATTTTTCGGTCCGAGGCCTTAGGCGTGGTGATCTTCGAGATGCTCTTGGGAAGGCGGCCCTTTCAGGCGCCTAAAACGCAAATTTAAATGGGAGTATCCTCTGGTAAACTAACATAACTATGGAAAATCACAACTTTTAATGGGTAAACCAACTATTTCTATGGGTCATTTTCAATAGCTATGATAGTTTACCAGAGGGTAACCAAAAATGGCAGGTTTATAATGGATGATAACTAGGGGTAGTCCTATTTTAGAACACCTCCATATTAATATAACATAATATTGTAAGATTATTATTTGTGATATATTAAAACACAATATGATACAAAAGATGATTGTGATGCTGAAAGGATATTGGTATTATGTCTTTTTTGCTTAATCAGGCTGAATCATAATATGCAATTATATTGTACATATGTACAATTAATATCATCGCATATTATAATATATGCGTGTAAGCCTGTATATACACCTCAACATTTCCAAATGGACAGGAACCAAGCGTCAAAACCATTGAGTTTTGCCCACTTGTTTCCACATCTAAGCCACCTCATCAACCTTAAAACCACTGTTGGTTGGAGATTATAGTCATTAATAGGGATGTTAACCATCAAAACATGGTGATATTTAAGTGGATATAGCTGATAGATGATGGTTCATTGAGTTGGTTCATGACTATATTGGATTATACTACCCAATATATTGGGTATTATCATAATCCATGAATGATGAGGGACCCCCTGTGGTCTATGTGCAGATGGACATGTAGACCCAGTTGGAATGGATTAAGAGCAAGCGGGTTGGACATGTAGGGGGGTTAATTTGCCAACAATCTGGATGATTTATAGCAACCCCACTGCAACCTCATTCCGCATCGCTCAGCAAAACAGCAGAATTGATCCTATATGATGGCGAATGTCACTGGGTTACTGTCCAACCCCGACATAGGATGTAGTAGGAATAGAGTGACGCACCATATCCTCCTGCAAATCAAGTAACATTAAGAATTTGATATGGGAAATCCATCATTTGTAGACCATATTCCTATGCATTTTCCATATGTTTTTCCGTGTTTGTCTATATTTGATGGGCTTCCCTTTGGGTTTTCCACATGTGTTGTATCTTTACCGCAGGATAGATGGATTCGCATCCACTGAATGAACACAAATCCCATTTGATAGTCCAACGGCATACCATGAATTACAAAAAGCATCAATGGGATTAGCTCATGATTTCTCGTTAGTCCACAACTTGGTTGAAGGGAACATTTGCAGGAAAACCCGTATATTTGACGAGTAAAACACTGGTTTCCTGTAGATTTTCCCTCCTAAACCACCCCAAGTAGATGTTCCACGACTTGCAAAAAAAACATGCAATATTTTTTTGTGGGATCAGTTCATGGTTTCCCATATCTTCCCATATCTTCCTATAGATCCGAAACAGTTTCCCCAGCTTCACCAAGGGTCTCTGGTGCCAGGCAGAGAACATGGCGGTTCTGTGGTTGAAGGTGGCGCAGCACGAAGCGCCGCTGGACGAGCTGAGCCCACTGGCTGCGGAAGTGGTGCAAGGTTGGACGGAGCTGATGGGGAGCTGAGTCGACTGGGGATGTGTCATCCAAAAACATGGGGATTATGTACAGGTGTAGTTCGATGAAGTTCAATGTGGATATATTGTATGTCCAATGCATCCAATGGGATTTTCATGCGATTTTCATGGGATATGAAGCACCAAACACTATGATTAGGGGATTTTGATGTGATTTAACATTCAACAATGGTGGTTTAATGGGAATAGTCCCATCCCCCTTTCAAAAAATCCATAAAACACCCCCATTGTATGGTTTCAAAAGATGTCATTTCATCCCATACGACACCATGGTTTCTGGGGATGTTCAATGTGAGGGTCAAGGGATTACCCTTTTCCGGTATTTGAAAAGATGAAGCCCCACCAGCTATTTCAATCTATTTCATGTTCAACAGGGTACCAGGGTGCGAGAGTTGTGATCGATTCATGCGGATTCGGGAAGTCGAACTTTCGGAAACCGTTGATGAACCAAGGCCCCGGGGACCACTTCAAGACACGTCCATTCCCCCTAAACCTTCCCCCCTTCCCCAAATCATAAAACCGGGTAGTTTTGATTAGGGATAATCTGGTATTCGGGGGAGAAGCTTGCCTCTAAATATTGAATGTAAAACCTTATTTCAAAGTCGATCAAACTCCTTGTTTAAATCCAATTAAACTATTTTCAAATATTGGATAATATTGGATTTTTAAGTTTTCCCTAATATTACATCAAACACGTTTTTTTTTTCATGTTATAAGACGGACCCTAATAAAAAAATATCCCGGGGTTAACTAGTTTTTATTATTAAGGGGTAGAACCTTCAAATTGGACCTTGACTTTTAAATTGTTTTCTAAAATATCAACAAAAAATCACAATTGACCAATCGGATCCAATCGGATTTTTTCGAAAACAAACAATCTGGGGTAGTTTTCATTGTTTAGTTTAAGGTAAGTAATAGAAAGAAGGAATTAGGACAAAAAAAATGTGTTGCATTTAACTACCACGTACAAGGGGTATGGGAAAGTGATAACATTTCAAACCAAAGTTTGGTTTCAAATATGTCTCATTTGGATCCATTTTGGCGATGATGGATCCGCAATGACTGATATGGTTGGGATTGGGTGAAACTACCCAATGACTAAAGCGGCTTTGGAGCCGCTCACCTCGTAGATACTTTACATCCACCTACCTTGACCTACAAAACACCAAAGGATCCATTGGGGTCCGGGTGGTATATTTGTGGCAACAAATCTATTGAGGATCATGATTACTGATAATCCATACAAGGGCATTCCGGCATTCCTATCATCATTTGGATGCGTCAAATCCTCATTACAAGACTCGGAGGCTGATTCCGTCATGGAACTGCCAACCCTTTGGCCATGGAGGCTTGCTGAACAAAGATCCAATCGTCAGACTGACCGCACAAGTCTGGACCTTAGACCTTGGATTTTCTGACGAGACATATTTATTATTACTTTTTGCCTACAACCCTCATTGGGAAAAACCCTCAAACTCAAATCAACTGCTGGCGTCAAGGACGTTCGAGGTAACGCATTCATTTCATCATGACCAACAGAGTCAATTCAAGACAGATTCCCGGAAATTTGGACCTGACAGGGAGCTTCCATACATATAATTACATATATATATATATTATATGTATAATTATATATATATATATATATGTACATATTAATATATATAATTACCTTCAATGTAGCTACCTTTTTGATGGTAATCAGCACGGCTGGCTGGATAATTTCCATTTCAAAAGGGAATAACATCTATAAATTGATACTTTGCTGTTGTTTTTTCTGCAAGGCAGTATTGATCTTGAGGGAACCACATGAATCAATTCATGACCCCAAAAATCAGCTTCAGGATTGATGACACATCCACACTGGTTGTACCTCAAATCTAGATATCGAAAATTGAACATGTCGCTGTCACATCATATTGAGGAAATCTGATACTACCAAGGAATATGAGGAACTTTTGGTGACCTCTATCGGATCTTAATTTGCAATCCTTTATTATAGATTTATAGCTCGTTGCTGCTTTGTATTTCCATGGTTTTCGAAATTCAGCGATCTTGAGCACGATGATCAAGTCAATGACTTGATAATATGTTTTCAGGGTCAAGGGCATGGCTCAACCACCAACCAGGTTACTCCGAATTCTCGTACCATGTGGTAATTTAATGAAGCTAATAGCGAACCGGACAATAAGCAATTTGATTAGGTAAATTATCATTTTTATCACTTAATCATCATAAATAGTCATTCATAATCATGATTGACGAAGTGGAAAATCACCATGTTTAACACATCAATATAAATCATCTATCGATCGGCCCAACAAACGGCAGTTGATGTTTCAGTCTTCCCAGGAATGCCGAAGTCTGGCCTGGTTTGCCGAACCGCAGTTGCAGCTGCAGCCGCCCGATCTCTCTGCCAGGTTGCGCGGGAGGGTTCTCCTGAAGTGGTGGGGAGGTATGTGTTGAAAAATGTTGTATATATAATTATATGTATATATAATATATATATGGGGGTTTCCATAAATGGGGGTACCCAAAATGGATGGTTTACAAGGGAAAATCCCATTAAAATTGATGATTTGGGGGTACCACCATTTTAGGAAACCTCCAATATATATATATATACACTACCCCTACTATATATATATATGTATGTATATATATATGTATGTATCTATCTATCTATATATATATGTATGTATCTATATATATATATAATTAGAAAACCAGACCCTCTTCAAATTTGCAAATAAATGTTTGTTCTGGACTAAACAACAATCACCATTTTGATGGGTATAGTTATATTGCAGGTCCAGGTATGCCTATGTTTACAAGATTTACAAGTATATTATAATATATGTCGTTATTCACATATATGCACATATATAGTCTGTGTATGCACCTTCATACACATCTCCCATTGATGCCCTACTGACCAGGCAGGCCAAGATCGAAGCTTTGGGCAGTGCCAACTGCTTCCATCAGATTGTGGGGACCTCAGCCTGGGAAACTGTTTCCATGATCCCAGTGATCACTTGTGTGGTCAGAAACTGTATTAATAGTATATCCCATAGGATCCATGGTGCTGGTATATTTACCTACAAAACTGGGTCATTTATGGGGTAAATGTTGGTAAATATTCCATACATGGATCCTGTGGGTATAGGTTATCCGTGGTTCCCATGCAAGTTGATTTGATTGATATTGCTTGAGATTGAACTCACTAGAATAGTCCAATTTTATGTCCATTGAACAAGCACCATGAAGCTGAAGTTCTTGGAAAATCCCGAAAACTATGCAGCTGCATCAGTGTTGATCGAGATTTAGCATTTCATCCCACCACGAAAAAATCTGTGCAAACTATTCAGCTGGTACTGCCATTTCGGGAAGTTCTTTGTTCATCAAAATAGGATCAGGGGATCATCGATACTACCGCAGACGCCTGATGTGACGTAAAAAGGCGACCTGTCGACTCTGTCGACATGCGCAAGTCTCCGGAAATACAGTAACCCTGGGAGGTGAATGCTTCAGATTGTGTTTTCGGAAATGTCGACATGTTACATCATATCACACCAGATTCATGTGGGAAAGCCATGGAATTCCAATGCCATGAACCTACCATGACTGGGGATGTCTTATATACCATAAAAATGGTGATGACTTGGGGATGCTTCTTGTGGAGGGCCTGTGCTGCCCGGGAAATCAGGGATGTCTTAGGTATCGAACGAACGAACTTTTCCTGCTGGTTCCATTGATACTAGCTGAGATATCTATAAAATTCTATAAATAAATTATATATATATATACAAATATATATATATATATGTTCTGTTTTGTTTGTTTTGTGAGTCTGTGAGAGTTTCAAACATGTTTCTTTTCCCTCCGGATTCATGAATCTGGGGTGAAATCACCGCGTTTTTTTTTACGCCAGGCGATGTTTGCTGTTGCAACTGGCTTGAGCATGAAGGATATGCAGGGCGTTTTCCAGGCGCACTTGGTGAATCTTGGTGAGACTCATGTTTAAAAACAATGACTGAATGCAGATTTTTGGACAAACTTCTATCGGATTTGAGATACAACAAGCTATGTTTTGGAGGTTCCCACAAGAGCATCACCGTTTGAACATCGTTTGACTCGTACTCATCTCTGCCAAACAGCAGGTGGTAGCAGATCCTGTTAGATAGGTAACCAGTGAGCCCCAGGCCCCAAGACCTTGATTAGGGGAGAGACCAATGGGCGCGGAAGAACTTGGCACTTTTTACAGGTTGAGTGCGTCTTAGTGCGATAGGACTGATAGGAAGCAACCCAGTGTGACTCTCAAATTTTAAAAAGAATACCCTCTGGTGAACTAACATAGCAATGGAAAATCACCATTGTTCATGGGAAAATCCACTATAAATAGCCATTTTCCATTGCTATGTTAGTTCACCAGAGGGTATATTCATTGTATTTTTTTTCAGGAAATAAACTCCAGTGAGTCATATTGATTATACTTCCCACGGCGATGGGAACGATGTGCCTGTTGTTAGCGGCGTCAGTGCTGGCTCCAGGGTGGGATGTTGTGGTTTTTTGCTAACATACAAAAAACGATGGAAAACGATGGAAAACATAGGAAAACCATAGGAAAATGGAGGTTTACCCTCTGGTAAACTAAGATAACTATGGAAAATTACAATGTTTAATGGGTAAATCAACTATTTCGACTGGGCCATTTTCAATAGCTATGTAACAATCATTACTAGAGGGTATGTGCCAATATGTGCCATGGTTTTCTCAAGGGGAGAGTCATCCCATGAGACCTGGGATTTTTTTTGAATATACCCTCTGGTTGTGACTAACATAGCCATAGAAAATGACCCATTTATAGATGGTTTACCTATTAAATATTGGTGGATTTTCCATGGCTATGTTAGATAACCAGATGGTACCGATTGTAAGGAATTCCCAACGTTTTAATCTTGCAAGCTTTTTGCTGCTGAACAAGCTACTAGTCTTCATGCACTGAAAGATGTAAATTTCCATACCACATATCACGTATCCATACCACTAGAGCTGTTTTCCATTCAGTTTGATTTTTGCTGTTGATATTTGATATTTCCATACCACATATCTTATACAGTCAACTTGATATTTCCATACGCATGTCCACCATTTTCATGTCACCCATGTCACCCATCATATCGTCTCCCCATTCTGCAGGTCTTTCAAGCCATCGACACAGACAAGTCCCTGCCCTGGGCGGGCTCGGAAGGGCTCAAGTATTCCTGGTTGAAGGGTTGGTTAATATTGCTTCATTCTACTCAAACAGATCATAGTTGATTAACTCACATTAATATACATTATATGTAGTTATAATGTGTTAATTGCTTGATGGGCTAATCAACGAATGGTTAAATGGTTGGACAATTGTGCGATTGATCAGTATTCATTTGCCATTTATATGTGAGCTATATTTTGATGGAGCCTATTCATGACACCATCCTTTCAAATTTCAGCCATGAAAAAAGAAACTGACAATATCATTGGGTGTTGACCCATGCAAGGGGATAGACATTCATTAGTTCTTCCTTTATTTCCTTTGCTAGCTCAGGCTATCTCCAGACATTTAGACGAATCTTTAGACATTTTCTTGGACTCAACATAGATGAATAGGCCTTTAAATAGGCCTTGAAACTGGCCTTGCTGTGTTTGGCGGTTGCCTTGGTTGCCTTGGTTGCCTTGGTTGCCTTCAGGTCGGGCAATTTGGACTTTGAAGAGTTTCGCCTGGCCTTACAACAGCTCAACATTACTGAGGACCAATGGCTGGATCCGCAGCATCGGCTGGATTCTGAAGTATTTTTTGTCAAAATAGAAGTGGCATGACGCCAGGCCGTCAACCCATAGATCTGAGGGTAGAGTGTTGTTTGTTCCATCATTTGGATCAATGTCCTTCATGTTCTTAAACGTTTTATCATGCGCAGATGCGTATCGGCGTCCAAAATTTGATGGTAATCGCAGTCCAACATAGTCCAACACGTTTTTTGAAGGGAACGTGATGGTTTGAATGGACAAGGTTTTGAGTAGTTCATTCACAGATGTTAATAATGCAGTTATTTGGAGCTTATGTAAAGTCAGGCCTTTGTTGATTAAATGTTGATTATGAATTATGAAGCAACTAACCATTATCAACCATGATTGATCATGATTAATGGATGATAGATATTTGCTAATGGTGTTTATCCTCCGCAGACATTTTGGTGATTTCATTTCTCTCGTCCTTGTGGCATTTGATCGACATGGCGGCCGTGTTTCCAGCAAACCAGGCGAGCTTTTTGTCCGAAAGCGCCGGTTGAATCCGAACATCATCTATCAAGAGGATTCAAGAATCGATGAACATCATCAAAATTCACAAGTCAAGTTTAGTTTTCAACAATAAACATCAAATCATCACCATACAAATCCATATAAAAATCTAGTTAAAAACATTAAAAAATCCTATGACTTTGCTGCTCGACTTCCTTGAATCCTTACGTTTCCTTAACGTCAACGCAACGGCGACTTCCCCCGCAGTTGACGAGGTGATCGTGGTGGGTGGCGGCCTGGCTGGGATGTCTGCTGCGAACCAAGTGGTGGAGCTTGGAGGACCGCAATTTTAAGGAGGATTATATACATTATATATCATGATATTATATATATATGTGATATGTATGTAATATATATAATACATACAGTATATATATAATATACAGTATATATATAATATAATATACAGTATAAATATTATATATATACTGTATAATATATATATATATGTATCAATGATACATTTTTTCAGGAATCCTATGTATAGTGTTATATATATGCATACATGATACCCTCTTAACAGTTGACTCTGAAAAAAAACACTTTTAGTGGAAACTAATCTTCCAAGCCCCTATGTGGCAGAGTCTAGAGTCTAGTTATATGGCAGAGTCTAGTTATATAATTTACTTGAGGGCAATGATTATTAATATATGTATATATATGTATGTATGTATGTATGTATGTAAGTAAGTAAGTAAGTAAGTAAGTACGTAAGTAAGTAAGTAAGTAAGTAAGTAAGTATGTAATGTATGTAATGAATGTAATGTATGTAATGTATGTTATGTATGTAATGTATGTAATGTAATGTAATGCAATGCAATGCAATGGAATGTAATGTAATGTAACGTAACGTAATGTAATGTAATGTATGTATGGTATTGACCATTGTCAACCCCGGATTAATATACCACGGTTTATTAATCACGGGGGTATCCTCCAAATATTGATAATATGATACTTAATTTTTACCACCCATTAAATAGCCGTTCGGGGTTTATTGATCCAGGGTTGACCTTACTGTTAGTAGGAGATGGTTGATGATAAATGTTAAGAAACAAAGTTCATATAGTAGATAATTAATCAGACAAATTAGAGACTAGATCATGTGTAATTGTTTTACAGTAAGTTTTGAAATGAACATTGTTCATAGCCCCCTGTTGGTTGATGATAATTATATGGGATTTATGCTCACCAATATATTGGGGAATATCACGATCCGTGAACGGGAAATCCATATCAAGATACGGGGGGTTCTTAAAATGGTGGTATCCCCAAAACCATCGGTTTTGCCATTGATAACCACCAATTTCGGATGATTTTGGGCACTCTGATTTCAGGGATCCTATACAATTATATATATACATATACACATAAAGGAGAATGATTTATGTTATAGTAGGAGATAATAAATGATCAGTGATAATGGCTGATGTTCATATAACAGATAATTAGATAAATAGATAATTATGTATAAATAAAAAACATTATACCAAACATAATACTGTATGATTTAACACACATAAATCAGGAGTTTTGTCCCAGAGATGGGCCGTTTGAAGTTGAGTATGGGCAGGTAATGAGTTTTTCAAGAACATCTGTCAGGGACTTGGAACCGACCAAATCCATCAACATGTATATATATATATATATATACTGAAACGCATCACAGATAATTGCGGGGAGAGGCCGCAATATTTGGGGATTTTATGTTTAGATGGGTTCGGAGGAGTTTACCAACAAAAATAGTGGACTTATCACTAATCTATGGCCATCTTCAAAGTGGGAAATGAAAACTGGCAAACTCAGTTGCAAACGGCTATAAGTTGTGATTTAAGCAACAAACTTGCCGGTCTAAATGGCTATAAATGGGGGCATCAAATCAACCAATAATCTGTATAAATGGCTGAACACGGTGATTGAACCAATAATTTCCTGCGTGTAGAAAACCAAGCATCATGGGGATATAATGGGATTCCACCAGCACCAAAAGGAATCTCCCTGCAATCAGAACAAGTTTATGGATGGAGCTAACGGTGCAGGTCAAAAACCATCAAGAATCGCTGTCGTAGATGGTTCAGATTCGCCCCAAACAAGGTGGATGGCGTTTGCTAGCCCTATCCATTACTCGCCACACGGTTCTGCTGCTGGGTCGCCGCCAGGCCGGACTTTGCTGCTGGACAAGTCGTCCTTTTGTGGTGGCAACAGTACGAAGGCCACCAGTGGCATCAACGGTGCAGGCCGCAGTTTTCGGCAGCACCATTACCATCCCCAAACCGGTGTAGCTTCATGGCGGGTTGCCAGCATTCGCTATGATTTGGAGTACTTTGAAATGGGAACATCTTGGGAATTTGACTGACATTGAGTCTCCAAAACTGGGAAGATCTTGGATTTTTATTGAGCAAGGTGCAAATCATGAAAGGAAGTTGGACCTTCAAATCACCAGGTTGGAGTTCCATCTCTTACACAATGAGTCAATATGCAAAGTCCTAGGACACCTTTACACACTCTGGGAGTAGAAAAAGTGGTTCGTGGATGATTTTGGGTTCTTCCAACTCTCCCTGAAAAAAAGGGCTGCCCAACCCAGTGCTTACTGTATCAAGTGTGTCCTTTGAAGGTTTCGCCTCTATGATTCCGGAAGCGAAGCTGATAACCTCATGAAGTAAGCCTTGGGAAATGGCACCAATAGGTGAATTAATTTTCAATCTGGATGATTTGTTGATATAGCCGCATGAAGTGCTCAATGATGCACTGTGAATGTTTTGGTTATATAAAGATGTTTGATGCTCAGGAATAACATTGGATAAGGTGGGATCCACAATAAAGAACCATCCACAATGTGTGGTCTATTCGTAGGGTACACTCCTACTTGGGATGATTTGTAACAGCCACCCAAATGGTCGACAAGTGGGAATGGTCTTTTAGATTGTAGATGGCTAATCCCAATCGTTATATCCCGCTATTGTGCCCCCATGCTGTTTCCATCAACTCCCCAGTATTCAGTATCAACATAAATCAACCATCATTGGGTGCAGCTTAAATCCCAATATAAACGAGTACAGTATGGAGTATAGATCCCACTGAACTCTTCATCTACAAGTGTTTGCTTTTTCTTCCTGTGGATCCCCGAAAGAACAAACACATCTAGAAACCCAAGATATCAAGCCATCATATATCCCAAGAACTTCAATCCCAAACATAGCTTGGCGATATTGGCTTTGCCAGCAGATATCATCACCATTCATCACCTCAGGCACGAAGACCCAGAAGAGCAAGTCCATCCCAGATACCGCGGATATTTTTGTTGCTGATACGCTCAAGGGCGGTGCCAAGAAGCCTGAACTGGCCAAGGTGGGGGGAGTCATGCGAAACGTTTTTTGACTTGTGGATCTTGTGGGCTTAGTGTACAATAGATGCTTTAATTGGCTTCAAAATATACAAATCTATCTAAATCTCGAGATGAATAAAGAAGTCTGTATACTACCTGGTAAGGATCAGGACTGGTAAATATGAGTCCAGGTTCAAAAGGTTTTTCCAAGATTTGTTTTTTTTCCGCGCCAGAACGTTCTTTGTCACTCCTGAGTGGTTTATGTTGCCCTTAAAAGGATACGCTGAATCGTTATTTGAACGCAATGCGAATGCAATCGCTACGTCAGCGGCGTAATTATCCACGATTATCCACCCCAGAGACTCAAGAGTGTTTTTTTTTCCACTTTAATCTATGACATATGACATGAGTTACGGTCAAACTGGTTGAAAACCACTGTAGTATTGCAGAAACACTTTTGTCAGAGATGTGAACGAATCACTGTAAAGCGATAGGACCCCCTCCAAAAGCGATAATGGCACAAAATACTGGAAAGCAATATGGCCCCCACAAAAAGCGATAACCAATAATAGTAACTACTGAGATGTAAAGAATTTTGACGGGAACTATATAATCTATGACTATCTATCTAATATAATCTAATCTAATCTAGTCTAGTCTAATCTAATCTAAATCTAATCTAATTTAATCTAATCTTATCTTATCTTGTCCTATCCTATCTTATCTTATCTAACCGTATCTAATCTAATCTACAGTAATCTTATCTTATCTTATCTTGTCGTATCGTATCTTATCTTATCTTATCTCATTTTATCTTATCTTATCTTACTGTATCCCATCCATCCATCCATCCATCCATCCATCCATCCATCTATCTATCTATCTATTTATCCATCTATCTATCTATCCATCTATCTATCTATCTATCTATCTATCTATCTATCTAATATATCTATATTATATCCCATAGGATCCATGTATGGTATATTTACCTACATTTGGGTCATTTATGGGGTAAATGTTGGTAAATATTCCATACATGGATCCTATGGGTATATATACACATATAATTACATATACATTTATATGCAATATTATGCAATCACATACTCTCACTATCATTCTT